TGTCCAATAACGCCTATTTCCCAAACCCTCGATACCCGCCCTCTTCGTCTTCGATCGAACCCTTTTTGGGGGGTATACCTTTCTTCCCTGCAGGCCGGGCCCCGGCAAGCGGCGGGGCGGCCGCGGACCGTCGGCCTGGCCAGCGGCAGCGCTGATCGGCGGGGCGGCCGCGGACCGTCGACCCGACCCCAAGAGGGACGGACAGGGGACCGACCACGACGACGACGACGACGACGACGACGACAACGACGTCGAAGACGACGGCGACGACGACGACGACGGCGACGACGAGCGAAAGCGAAAGCGAGAGAGAACGACAGAGCAGGGCCACGAAGGGCACGAAGCAGGCCACGAAGGGCGACAGCGGGGACACGAAGGGAATGCGTATGGGGCCACGAAGAGCGCGAACGAGCGGGGGCCACGAAGTGCAGATAATGCGGGGCCACAGAAGGCAACTATGGGGCCACTGAGGGTAGCAACTGGGCCACGTAGGACACTGAGGGGGACACAAATGGCGACAGCGGGGCCACGAAAGGCACGCACATGGGGCCACAACGGGCGAGACTCCTGGGTGCCTGGGTGTCGGGAGCGCGGCGCTTGGGCAAATTGCAAGAAATTCCAACGCAAGGCCATTCTTCAGTAAATTGCTAGCAAGTCTCCAGCGGGAGCGCGACTCCAGAGCACCGGGAGAGCGATTCCCGAATAAATTGTAAGGAAGTCCCAAGCGAGAGCGCGATTCCTGAATAAAATGCGAGGAAGTCTCGGGCGGGAGCGGGGGTCCTGGCTAAATTAGAAGGAAGTCTCAAGCGGGAGCCGTTGTTGTTGTAACCCAGGGGCCAGGGGCCCAGTTTGAGCAGGAAGACTTTCCCTGTCAAAAAACAGGGTGCGAGCGTCGAGGGGCACACATTGATTAAGAAAAAACAGTATGCACCTGTGGGGGGGATCAACAATGATTGTTCTTCAGAAATGACAATTCAACAACAACAACAACAACAACAACAACAACAACAACAACAACAACAACAACAACAACAACAACAACAACAACAACAACAACAACAATTACTAGCACGTGGGGACACACCGTTCTCACCAGTGCCAGGGTTTTCATAGGAGGCGGGCAATACCCCCACTTTGTGGGGGGGCCGGTTCAAGCTCTACCAAATTTCCAAACGACTCTTCGCCACCACCCACACCCAGCTTCCCGCCCTATGACGTTCGGACACTTCACTTCGTGGCATGCGGACGACCGTGGCTACTATTCAGGGCCCCGCGGCCGACGACGACGGCGTGCGCGCGCGAAGAAAAAACGAATGTGTCCCGCAAGGTATTATTTGACAGAGATGATGGCCCTGGCAGGTGCGCAACCGTTGTTGCAGAAGTTCGAAAAAGTGGCTCGCAAAAGCCCGTTTGACAGAAATGTTTAACAAGTGTTGGGTTTCCTACAAATCCGCAAGAGCGCGCGGGATGAAATTTTGACATTTTTGTTTGAAAAACCATTGGTTTTTTGATGTTGTTATGTTAAAATCGCTACGAACACTAAGGTTTTGGAAGGATTTCGTCTTGCGCGCGCGAATGTCCAGTTTACCTTATTTGTTGCAAGGGATTCTTGAAGTTTGGTTATATTAGAACAAGAAATGTCCACTTTGCCTTAGTTTTTGCAAGGGAAAACCGATCGTAACAACACAACCGGATCTGGTGCACATCGTTTTGCCTGAGACTTCCTCACGAAAATTATGAAAACGTGGCTGCGGCCTAGGCGCGGCGGGGGGGCCATGCACCAGGGGCCCCAACAATAATTATTCTTTAGAAGAATTAATGTTCAACAACAACAACAACAACAACAACAACAACAATAACCAACAACAACAACAACAACCACAACAACAACAACAACCACAACAACAACAACAACAACAACAACAACCACAACCATTTTAAGACTGTTCGCCCTTACCTGCTCGAGTGTCCAATAACGCCTATTTCACAAACCCTCGATACCCGCCCTCTTCGTCTTCGATCGAACCCCTTTTGGGGGGTATACCTTTCTTCCCTGCAGGCTGGGCCCCGGCAAGCGGCGGGGCGGCCGCGGACCGTCGGCCTGGCCAGCGGCAGCGCTGATCGGCGGGGCGGCCGCGGACCGTCGACCCGACCCAAAGAGGGACGGACAGGGGACCGACCATGACGACGACGACGACGTCGACGACGACGGCGATGACGACGACGTCGACGATGACGGCGACGAGCGAAAGCGAGAGCGAAAGAGAACGACAGCAGAGCCACAAGGACACGAAGTAGGCCACGAAGGGCAACAGAGGGGACACGAAGGGAATGCGTATGGGACCACGAAGAGCGCGAACGAGCGGGGGCCACGAGGGGCAGATAATGCGGGGCCACAGAAGGCAACGATGGGGCCACTGAGGGTAGCAACTGGGCCACGTAGGACATATGCATATGGGGCCACCACGGGCGCGAAACAGCGGGGGCCACGAAGGGCATACATATATGGGGCCACGAAGGGCAGCGAGGGGGCCACGAAGGGATGCAACGGGGCCACGAAGGGCTGCGACGGGGCCACGAAACAAAGCGAGGGGGCCACGAGGGGCTGCAACGTGGCCACGAAGGGCAGCGAGGGGGCCACGAAGGGCTGCAACGGGGCCACGAAACAAAGCGAGCGGGCCACGAAGGGCTGCAACGGGGCCACGAAGGGCAGCGAGATCCCGATTCCTATGTAATATGTGAGGGAGTCCTAAGCGTGAGCGCGAATCCTGGGTGCCTGGGTGTCGGGAGCGCGGCGCTTGAGTAAATTGCAAGAGATTCCAACGCAAGGGCACTATTCTTCAGTTCTTCAGTAAATTGCAAGCGAGTCTCCAGCGAGAGCGCGACTCCAGAGCGCCGGGAGAATAAATTCTAACGAAGTCCCAAGCGAGAGCGCGATTCCTGAATATAACGCAGGGAAGTCTCGGGCGGAAGCGGGGGTCCTGGCTAAATTGTGAGGAAGTCTCAGGCGGGAGCCGTTGTTGTTGTAAACTAGAGGCCAGCGACACTGTTTGACCCTCAAGACTTTCCCTGATAAAAAACAGGGTGCGAGCCCCGGGAAGGGCACTTCAATCGAAAAAAACTATGTGCACCGGACGGGGGGATCAACAATACCTATTCTCCAGAAATGAGAGTTCAACAAGATCAGGATCAGCATATTCAGCAGAAGAAGCATCAGCATCATCAGCATCCTCCTCATCCTCCTCATCACCATCAGCATCATCATAATCATCATCGTCGTCATCATGATTACAATCATTCTCATCATCAGCATCATCATCACTTCTCGCTCATCTCAGGGAGTGGGAGCAGTAGACGGCGAAGGGCCCAAAAAGTCTTGACGAATTAAAGGCATAATGATTTGTCTCCTCTCGATGTGCGGGGACACACATTCAGAAATTAGGATCAATGGACGACCCCTCCCTCCCTCTCTTCTCCCTGACCTCCTCCCCCCCGCCTCCCCTCCCCAACACGAACCCTCGCTCACCGCTCCTGCTCGCTCCTCATCGCTCATCCCCCCCCCATCTTCCATTCCATTCACCTCCATCCCTCCTCCCCCACCATGACCACCACCTCCTCCTCCTCCTCCACCTCCTCCTCCTCCTCCTCCTCCTCCCACCCTCCCACCCCCCCCCTCCCTACTCCCCTTCCCTCCTCCCTCATCCCTCCTCCCTCCTCCTCCCTCCTCCAACTCTCTCTCTCTCTCTCTCTCTCTCCCTCTCATAAATCACTCATCCCTGCCGCGTCACGAGACGTGTCGGTAGGGCGGGCCGGGCGTTTCACCTGAGAGTTCCTCCCCGCGGCAGCATCACGGACGGAGCGCGGGTCGTTCCAAAAATGTGGTTATCACCTTAACGTCGCTCACAGTCGTATTAAAAGCTTGCAAGAGCTTCACGGATGGAGGGCGGCTGTTTGTTCATATGTGGCTCTCGTCTTAGGGCCGCGCACACGCGTTTTAAAAGTTTGCCCGAATTTCATGGATGGAAGGCGGGTGGCTTTCAAAATGTGTTTCTCACCTTAGCGCCGTGCACACGATTCATGAACGCCTAGACGCACCAGTAACGATGATCCGCGGCGTCGGAATCCCAAGAATGGTTTCCTGTCACGGTTCAAGATGTCTTCCAACGGGGCACTTCCCTCAGTGAAAATGAATCCTTGGAGGGACCTGTGGACAGGGAACTTGGAGGGAGGGTTTGCTGCAACATCGTTGATGAGCCTTGGGTTTACACTAGTCGTCGTTCCTCCTCCTCCTCCTCTTCCTCCTCCTCGTCCTCCTCCTCCTCTTCCTCCTCCCTCTCCTCCTCCTCTCTCCTTTTCCTTGTGAATACTAGTAACTCCTCCTTGTCGCACCTCCAGACGTGTCTGTAAGGCGGGTTGGGCGTTTCGCATGAGACTTCCACGCCATTTCCGATTCTGAAGCCTCCAATTTGATACAAACTCACGGATGGCAGGCTGGTAGTTTTCAAAATGCGAGCCTCTCCGTGGCGCCGCGCACATTTGTCCTGAAAATACAACAACAACAACAGCAGCAGCAGCAACAACAACAACAACAACAACAACAACAACAACAACAACATCACAGATGGAGGGCGGGTCGCTTTCAAAATGTGGCTCTCGCACCTCCTCCTCCTCCAACTCCTCCTCCTCCTCCTCCTC